CAAACCTAACCTAACCTATTCTAATAATTTGGTTGGTAATAATTATGGTAATTTATTATAATAGGTTAGGTTAGGTTAGAACGTGTGTCCCCACTGTTTCCTTTCTTCTGTTTGCTGGAATCAGAGACGAGCCGCCATTTTACTCACCATAGGTAACATTATCCAACTGTGCTTACTTACTAGTGCAGTCTAAAGATTGGTGACACTTTGAATTTCATAGCAATTGGTTTTTGCGACAAGCACACCTATTTGTGGCAAAGATCTTATTTTCACTTTACCGAGTGCCTAGTAGGTAGTGTGCGGATTACCTAGATACTCTGCCCATTATCTAGGTAATTTAAGAAATGGAACAATTTTCACAACTTTAACGGATCACCCTAGTTAATCTGCAGATTAGCTAGGTAATGTACACATTAACGACTTTCGAGCTTTAGCGGTAACATATATAATAAAATCTATTAATTAAAAAAATTAAAAAACTATTGGAGGTCGTTTTTTATATCAGAAAGTATCTTTAAATAACTTTACCGAAGTAAAATCCGTGCACTACAACTTTAGAATGATGAATGAAATTTGATATCAAAATCTCATAAAAAAAAACAATTAAGTGTTAATCATGCGTCATTAAAGGTAGATTAAAATCGCGATAAAATTTTTTCGCGCGGGAAAAAATTTTTGCAAAAATTTGAAGACTTAAAAAACATCCAAAAATTTAAAAAAAAATCCCAAAGGATCTAAAGGACCGATTTTTATGTAACGCTGTGTAAACTTGACGTAATAACTCGTCAATGGGGAGGAAGGGCTCGCTTTTTGATTCGTTCACGGTTAACAGAAATCACCACAGGTTATTTGTTTTGTGTGGATTTTTCTCAGGACTGTGTGTAGTGTTGAATCGGAATCCGTTTTCATTGGCGATATAAATTTTGGATCTGTGAATTACACACTTGTAACAGATCGTGCTGTAGTTGTATCGTTCGCAATGGCGACTAAACGTAAACTCGTTGTTCTCAGTGTTTCCGATGAACTTAAAATAATAGATCAGTTGAAAAGTGGTGCTAGATCAAGCTTAGCTCGGGAATATGGAGTTGGAAAAACCACAATAACAGACATTAAAAAGAACAGTGATGCTATTAAAAAATTTGCAAGTGTACTTGACAGTGAGGATGGAAGCTTGCACAGAGAAACGATGAAAATGGCAGAAAACAAGGATTTGGACACTGCAGTTTACACTTGGTTCATGCAAGTACATAGCCAAGGACAACCGATAAGTGGCCCTTTGATTTGTGAAAAAGCTCTTCAAATGAACAAGAAATTAGGGGGTAACGCTGATTTTCAAGCGAGTAACTGCTGGCTTATGCGTTTCAAATCTAGGCATGGAATTAGGGAACTGGACATCCAGGTTGAAAAATTGTCGGCTGATACTGAATCAGCTGAACGTTTGAAAAAGTCTTTTAAAAACATGATTGATAAGGATGGTTACAAAAAAACACAATGTCTATAATTCGAATGAAACTGGTTTGTACTGGAAGAAAATGCCAACAAAAACCCTAGTTTCTAAGAATGAAATGTCAGCACCTGGTTTTAAGGCAAGCAAATCACGCATTACTGTTATGGTATGCGAAAATATTACTGGAACGCACAGGCTACCTTTGCTAATCGTAGGAAGGTCTAAAAATCCACGGTGCTTTAAGGGAATAAAAAAATTGCCGGTCATCTACAAAAATCAAAAGAATTCATGGATGGATGCAAGCATTTTTATAGAATGGTATGACAATGTATTTATCCCTGAAGTCAAAAAGCATCAGCTTAGAACTGGGAATACTGGAAAGGTTTTGTTGTTGATTGATAATGCCCCAAGTCATCCCTCAAACATTTTACTGGAAAGAGAAAACGGAAAGTTTAAAGTTGTATTCTTACCTCCCAACATTACTTCCGTCCTCCAACCGATGGACCAAGGGGTCATTTAAAGCTTCAAACGAAATTACAGAAAGGCATTGCTGCGTATGTTAATGCTCGGAGAAGAATATGAAAAACAATTCAGCAAGTGTACACTGAAATTAACTTGAAGGATGCTATGTACTGGACATGGAAGCATCTGCTTGGGTTACTTGACAGTTACTTGGGTTACTGACACTACACTAGTAACAGCTTGGAATCAGCTCCTACCATCAGATGAGTCTATCACAGCACCTGAAGAACCACCAAACAACCAATTTCTATCACATCTGTGTGGGCTGATTAAAGAATGTTATGGATTTGAAGAATGCGACAACGAAAACATTCAAGACTGGCTCGAATGTGATGCCAATGACCCTGGCTATCAAATATTGTCGGACGATGAAATCACTGCCGGTGTCATCGACAACCAAGACCCTTGCGACGATGAGGAAGAACCTAGTGACAACAACCGTGCTGAAAAAGGACCATCCAGTGAGGAAGCTTTTCACGGCCTTGAGACAGCTATGAAGTGGTTAGAACAGCAGGAAGAATATGACGCTATCCAATTGCTGTTTTTAAAACGTGTGCGAGATTTAGTGGCAAAAAAGCGAGTGTCAGCTGTGAGGCAAAAGAAAATTTTGGACTTCTTTTTCTAGTGTATAGGCCTATTTTATGCAAAATATGTAACCCGAATATTGTATATATATATTTTTTGTTTTATATTTTTCAATGTACAGTACAGTAATGACTGTATTTTGTTTGTGCAAAATAAAGAAATAATTTTTAACGATGCAATAGCGACGATTATTATTTTTAAAAAAAATTTGATAGGCTTAACATGGAGGAAAATTCAACGCGAAGTAGGTTAATAGCGATATACTAATTACATGGGATATAATAATATCCTACACTAATAATGGATTTTTTCATACTTTTCGGTTATCCGACTTTTAAATTATCCGACCAACCCCAGTCCCCAATTGAGTCGGATAATCGATGCTCTACTGTATTTCTATTCAGACATCCCTTTAACTGCACAAAAGGTAAAAATATCCGCAAACCAATAAGAATTGTTCGTAATATTTCCTTCCGACATTTTAATCAAAACGTCATTCGGGAAACACTAATTTAGAAATTGGAAACACAAATCTCAGAAACGAAGAAATTCGAATAGTTAAAAGGAGATCGAACATTACAAACAGAAGTATAATAAAAATGTCACGTCACATTAGGTTATGAAGGGGTGGTGACATTTACATTTACATTTACTAAAGGATTAGAAGGCCACCACCAATAGGTATAGCCTTGGAAAAGGAAAGATGAAGAGTTGTAGAAGAAGTGAGAAGAGTGAAGAGAAGAAAAAGGGTAGATAGGAAAGAGTGAAATATGACATCTCAGAGCACCTGCCGAGTGCCATTTATTAAACACAAAAGTACAAATAGCCAAAATACAGTGGTGTACAGTATAACTGCCCCTGTTTTCAGGCAAGGAGCCCCATTACGGCTGACTTGGATCTCAACAAACAATCACGCGCGAATGTACAACCCGAATGGGGGTATAGACAAGTCCTCCATGGGAGGGAACAAAAGAAAACAATTGTTTGTACAAAAAAAAACACAGCCCCAAACCGGGTAAAATGACCCTTAACTGCTACCTTGCCAAAGAGCCTGCACACAAACTAACGCATATGTACAGTACATCCCCTATCAAGGGGAGAGAACCTCCATAACCTTGGAGGTTACAAAAACGCGAGCGACAAATTCTTTGGTAAAGGGACCAGAGACAATGACATTGTTCCTTCAGGTCCAGTGGTACGTGACCAAAGCTCCGTGAAGACACCAACCATTTTAAAACAAAGAACAAAGAAAGGTGCTACAATTTATGCCCGTGTAACATTACAAGCCTATCGTGCAACGCCTTGAGGCACAGGCAAAATTAGGGGCAGCCGAAGATGCATAGTCCCAGAGCAGACCTTCACAAATGCAAGCCTGAGTTGAATGTTACCAGGAGGGTCGCTTACCTAACGAACTTCAAGATGTTTGTCGCCCTGATGAAGGTTTCGAAAGCCTGGAGGGTCCTATGATTGGTAAGGAAATCTTTCATCTGGCAAGGCCAGTGAAAGCCAACATCAGCCAGAGTGCCTTTATATTTTGGACACAAGAAAATTGTGCGCTTTGCGTTTTGGTCCTCATCCATACAGCAGAGACAGAAAATGGGATAATACACCGGAAAATTTTGCATTTAAATATTTCCAGATGGTCTTTTTCGCCCTCCAACGGTATTCGGATAAAGACCGAATGATATTTATAGGTATCATCTATTCATTTTGTTCTTGGTCATACATTTTTATTTACATAGTTCCTTGACCTTTCTAAGCCTGTTTAAAACCTGTTAATATGGTTAACAATCGTCCGTAAATTACGCTATTTTTAAACTTTTCGACTACCTCCATCGAGCATTACGCTCCGTAACGCTATCGCACATACTGTACCAATCCCAGAATTACGTAACGCGCTTCCTCGATCGACACACCGAATGCTGCATTCTACATTTATTCTATTAATTACATGGGTACATACTGTGCATGTACTGTTCAAAGAAGATCTCTGCGAAGCACTTGTTCGTGTAAATCATCGTAGCGATTATTTGCGTACCTACTCACTCGTATCTTCGTTACGCAATTTACATGGATTCTTCACGCACGTTCGAAAATATTTTTGGGTTACCTACCCACGTTTGCGCCGATTAACATCACTCACCCTCAAACTCCGTCTGGCGGGAACAACACAGCCGTGGTAAAATTCCCTCGAATCCGCACGTGGATCGTCTGAGAAATTCCAAATTTCTCCAACCGCTCGACCGGGGACACTCGGACAGGGAGGAGCACCGATCGCTCAGCCCGTCGGGAGTCAAACATTCGCCTCTGTCGACGAACACTACTGTAATAAAGGAGGAAGAATTAGCACGGGAGGCCACGTCGGGTCCGATCGGTTCCCTGCACTTACTCTGTCTGCGATCCCTGCCTCCGGGACTCGAACGAAATAGAAGAAAGAAGATGGCGATCCGAAAGTTCATGACCTGAGGCTCCGATCCATTCTTCCGGTTGGAGGCGATTCTCTACTTATATCGACGATCGGACGGGATGGCGATTGGTCGATCGAAAGGAGGTCGAACGGAAAATTCGAAAGGTCGACAATAGGTTTAGCAATTGATTATGCGCCGAAAAGGCCCCTGGGGTTACGTTATTCGTTGATACAGATCGAGGTGCGTGTTATCAATTACCGTAACCGCCGGTATTAAGATGAAGGTTAATGGAATTGGTTCTGTTTGTGATTTACGAGACATAAAGAACATGAATACGGAATGTCTCTCAATTAGAAGGAATTTGTGGAGAAAAAAAATATGTAAATCGGCGCAATACTGGCGATTACAATCTCGCCGAAGAAGGTTTTTTTTTATCAAATCTCCAATTTCGTACATGCCGAAGTCTCCTCCCTCTCGGTTTATTTTTGTGTAGGAAATCGTTCGTAACTCGCCAGAGGGCTTCTGTAAACTAAACTCTTATAAACTGCTATTTGCATTCGAATTTGCAAAGTGCGACGAGTTTCTAGTCTTGAGATTATATTAATAGAACGGGAAATGGCGTAATAATCAACATTTGAACAGTTTTGCGTGTAAAAGCAACGGACAGCATTTTATTTAATAAATTTCTTAACTTAATATGTCTTCCACGAATTTCTGTAAAGGGTGGACGACGTCTGAAGCGGAGAAACGTCCTTACGGGCGGAGAATTTACACCGCAACCGACGTAACGACCAATTGCCGCGTAGATAGTCGAGGTGAAAAGGTGCTATTGGTGTAATCAATCCGTCGCTCCAATTGACACCTTAATTTTCCAGATTCGACGAATTGGTGCGTAATTAACAATTCCATTCACGCGCTACAACTTTACATACGTTAGAAACGACATTATCCCTGCCTTTGTTTTTGGAAGGAAACATTTGATAGGGAACGAAACACGATGTTACTAATTATAAAGTGAGTAAAGAAACGTAACTTATTATTGAAGTAACGAAAGGAACGTGTAAGAATGATACTCGTAATTTTCCTTTAAACCAGTGTTTTTCAACCTCTAACGAAACGTCGCCTCCTTCAATAAAACCGTTACGTAGTATCGCCCTCTTCACTACAAAATTCCGATACCGAGGGACAAGGCTAACGCCAAATTCGTACTGCATTGAATAGACTAGTGATTAGTATAATGTTATTTGTTTAATTATTGTACGATATAACGAATAAAATATCTAATTATTCTTAATATAATGTTTTACTATATCGCCTAGAAAATTGTTTTTTGCCCCCAAAATATAAATTGTTACTAATCGCCCCCCAACATGGAAAAAACGCCCACATGGGGCGATATCGCCCCCGTTGAGAAACACTGCTTAAACGTACAGACTTAACCGTTATTTCCTTTTATTCGCCGACATAATACGTCAAGTCTCCATTTTAGGACATCGAAAGTGGAACCGAACTAAGGCATTCTTTGTCACGTGTTGTATA